ACACGTTAATATTGACATAATTTTTTAGCGAAAAACCGAGCGACTACGCGCATTAATAATAAAATCGATTACATTTGTAATATGTATAGAATACGCGGACTAGGGTTCCAGGCCGGTCTTATCGTTCGCCGCCTAATTCGCGAGACGGTCGACGAGATACGTTGGGCGACCAAACGCGGTCGCCGTCGGTGATGCCACGGCTGGTGCCACATCGCAGACCAATTAAGGAACGCGGACAAGGCGTGTAATCGGCATTTCAACAGTATTGATGTCAAAAAGGAACAATAACAACGCTATTAACAATAGACTTTCGGACTTTCAGGTGTTTAGGTGATTAACGAAATCTCCCCGGGCGTGTCGCCGTCCAAACGAATCGGCCGCGGCAACAAATCGCGTGTATTCGGTAACACGCGAGCCGAACGATTTGTTCCGGACGAAAATTTATCGTTTGCGTCTTCTCCCGTAAACATTTTAATGGCGGCAGGTAATACGGCTAATATTCATTGCGTTCGTTTGCGGAAATATAAACGAATTCAAATCGTATTTTAATAAAAAAAACGAGAAAATCGTATGGTCCGCGTATCAAATATTATTATTACGCGTGAGAAATTGTCTACGGTTATTGAAAATAATTATTTTCCGTAAACGGAGTTTTTTTTCCCGCGGAATGAAAATTATCATTGTTATTATTAATTGTACCCGGCAACTGACGGAATCGTAAAAAATCAAATATTTATTTATTTGAATACAATGAAACATCGACCAAATACCAAATCAAAACGTTATCTCAAATTTCCGTTTCCCAATTATAATGGTAAAACGTATTTGTTTATCGACTATTATCGTCTATTACAATTAATAGGATGTATTATGTTAATCGGTAGGTTTTTATTATTTTTCGTATTACAATATAATTGGTTTTTTTTTTTTTTTTTTTGTGGTTTTCGTTTAATCAATTGTGCTGTTTAAAACGTTTAACGATTCTACCGCCGTACAGATATCGTGTTCAAGCCCCGACGATTCTATTTTTACAACAATATACCATCCGACACGCAAACGGTACACGGTTCACAAAAATATTATTTCGTATACCCACCGACTACGTACGCGTAGAGGTATATATAGTGTGACAACTGCAATGTGCAACGCATGTGAACGATACCTTTTTTCTTGTTTTCCAGTTCAAATATAGGATTAAGTCGTGTGTGTGTGTGTGTGTGTGTGTGTGTGCGTGCGTGTATATATAGGAACGGTTTTCAAAGCCCTCTCGCGGGTCAATGAAACGTTTGTCAGTGTTTATATCGCCCTTAAAAAAAACCTAAGTATCAAAACTCCCGACAGACGTACGCGATCGGGAAACTTTGAAGACACTGCCCATATGCTTTACCATTACTCAACGGAAATACAAGTCTGTCGTAAGTCATGACGTTACTGTAATAAATTATTATCGTATTTTATGGCAAACCTCGATAAAATACAATTTATCGTTCGATATACGCGTATTTTTATTTTTTTTTTTTTTTTTTTTATTACGTTGCCGTGTTCGTTATCGCGTTAATAACTGCGCGTGCATCGGTCCAATAACTTCAGAGTGCATACCCATTACCCTGCAGTTCTTGAACTGGTAAACAATTTAAAGGACGCAAAAATTAGAAGACGAAAAATGTGCTTACATTAAAATTTAAGTGTCTTCGTGCCATATATATATATATTTTATTATATCAATGATGTCCATTCGGAGTCGGATATAGAGTAGGGACCGTATTCTCGCCGCCCTAAACATTGAAATTTATACTAGCGAGTCGAAAATTCAACGATAATTGAATTTTAAATTCGGCAAAACTAATAGTTACTTATTTACTTCCTTCTTCGTACTGCAGGTTTTCCCGTCATTCGATTTCTGTTCAAACTTTGCTTGTTTCTTCTTGCTCGCGACGTGTCCAAGCCACTCTGAAGTCTTTGTCCCTTCATATATGACTTGTTTTTTTGTTATGATAGGCACTTTCATAATTTTCCTTATTTTCTCGTTTTACTTTCTATCAAAATGAAAGTATACCTGCAGTGGCTGTATCCAAATTGGATCCCGGATCCAAGTATTTTTTATAGGTAGTACGCTGGTCGGGTCCCATTGAATTTAGGGTAATCGGGGTAATTGAGTCTCAGCTTTCGGCAGGTTATATATCAGTTTGGTCCAAACGTTTACAACCAATACAAACAATTTTCCTTCTTACAGTTTACAGACTGATAACTGTCCGTGATTTATAGTCTAAAATAAAATTCATGGTTAAAAATGTTTTGTTTAGCAAAATTAATTAATATTTTGGGTATTGTATATGTCAATATGTTCAACTCATAATCGAAAACCGGTCTGAATATTATTCTGAACACTTTATTCTCAAAGGCTATTGATTTTCTCTTTATACGCACTGTTAACAGCCACACTTCGTACCCAAAAGTTAATATTTTTTTTCTATATTATGTATAGCCATAAACATAAACCATAGACGGACTCTTGTACCACAAAGTCGGAACGTTGTTATCGTTTTACTCAGAGTCCAAAAACTAGTGCGTACCTATTGAGAAATAAATCGATTTTCGGCCGATAAAAATCGATCCAGACGATCGCATTAGTCACGGGATACAAAACCTACGAAATCATGTTTATAAAAACGATTCCGTTTCAAAACGAAAACTAAAACGAGTACGTAGTCACGTTCAAACTGATTGATTTCCGTTTTTCTAAAAAAATAAAATAATGGCACTCTCAGGCGCGTCCCTGAGGGGGGGGGCGAAAGGGGCGATTTTAGGGGGTGCTTATGAGGTGGGCATAAGCCGTGTGATGTTCTCTTTTGTTATAAAAAATATCGAGACGTTCCTCGCCCCAGGCCACTCCCCTAATAAAGACGCCGTCGGCACTTAATTCTATTCCTGTTGAAAAGCTGAATATACGCGCGATTCGATGAGCTCACGCGGTCGAGACAACGCTGTGACGAATGTGTCGGTACATATTCTTGTCGTTAAAATATTTTTCAATGGAAATTAATTTTAACAAGTTTAATCGCGTGACGACAGTTATCATTATTATTACTATCATTATCGTCGTCGTCACAGCTTTTATATCCAAACGATAACGTCACGTCGTGTCGTCGTCCGTCTCCCAAATCGTTTTTGGCACACGTCAGTTTCCATAAAACGCGTCTAAATTTTATCACGTGAGCATTGCGCATGTACAACATTATAATAATATAGTTGGCCACGTGAAATATCTCCGCAGCGGTCGTTCTATTTCCGTTTCACTATAGAATTCCTATCTGTGTAATTTAAAAAAAAAACAACACACACACACACGCACACACACACACACACACTACTCGAAACAATGAAAATATTATGCTGATGGATACGATAATAGTTTCCGGTCGAATCCCCGAACGGATTGAGCAAGCATTTCGGACTTCTTATTCGGACGATTCTCTGAGGGTCGTCGCACTCGTAATTAATAATATCTATCTCGTTTTGTTGAGTAGGTACGATTTTATGAATTTTTTTGTGTCCCGTTTAACGAGTTTATCCGGCGAAAACATATTAGCGTTTTTGCTTTTGCGTTTATAATATTTGAGACGGAATCGAGAAGTATTAATTGTTTTTTTTTTTTTTTTTTTATGTAAACCGGATATAATATATCGAGTTCGAATGTTAACACAAATGCGGTTGGCATTCCCGCATATTACCGCCGAGACTTCCAACAACCTCAAGTCTTTTTGTAGTCTGTCCGTCTGATTTTTCATCAGCCGTTCTCTGAGTTTCTGGTCTCCGTTTAGTTGTAATTTATAGTAATATACTATAGGTTATCAAATCCTTTCAAAACTGTATACGAAATTATAGTTTATTGTTTAAAACACGTTCAGTAACCGGGAGTTTAGCACGTTCGCATAGTGGTCTTCCTAATTGGTTTTTTACGATATAAGGAATCTAAATTCTAAATTCTGTTTTACGTTTTTTGCTTATTAAAACGTATTTTTAGAATTATACGCATTGTAGAGCGTATTTTCGGCCGTATGTAACTTTGAAACGCTATACACGGTCACGTACCAACACTTTTAGAGCATATTCTTCACAATTAGTTGTTTTTTTTTTTTTTTATAAAGCGTATTCGCATATTTATCAGAGTCAGAAGTACCGAAGTCCGCACTTATTAGTTATTACATTACACCGTCGGGATTACGCCAGGCGAGACGGGACGCAAATGTTCTTTTCGGTGTCGTTAAAAGTACGCCGAAAAACTCGACTAAACGAATTGAAAAAAAAAAAAAAAAACCGCAACATTTTCCGCGCGTGTAATGTAATGCGACGTGTTACGATTATCACAGTATACGGCCGGCGGCGGCGTTTCGGACGAGTTCAAAAAGTCAAAAACCCAAACACGAGTAACCCCATTACACGGTCTGCGAGTGCGACGGCGGCGCCGCGTCGGTAACGGGGACGAGGGGCGTCGACGTCGATTATTATATTACTATTATTATTACTATTATTATTATTATTATTATTATTATTGCGGAACGGCGAACAATGAGCGAACGTTTCGATCCTATTGTCGCGGTGTATTGTGTTTAAAATTAATCGCGTACAAGGATTTTAGTACTCTCCCTCCCCCACCCCCGTCCTTGCCCATCCTGCGGATCGTTTTCCGGCGGGGTCGACCGCGAATACGAACGTCCTCTCCCCCCCCCGCCGCCAAAACGCGTTAATAATGATACCGCGCATCGTAACGTTCCGTCTCTTTTTCGTTATCGATCATCGGACCGGTTCGCATCGCGGACCCGAGATATTATAACGGGCCGGGAAAGTCTATTTTTTTTATTTTTTTTTTTGGGCGGGGGGTGGAGAAGTATCGACTGTTTCGCCTGCGCTCTCACTCCACCGCGCGTATGAAAACCCGAGGTGAACCGACACGAATCTTCGCTGACGTCCGATAGACGATCAGAAGTTGCCGATCCGATATTCAAATCATCCGACATCTTGAAAACAAACCGATATCGTTTAAATTTATATGTATGTATTATACACAACATATTATTACGAAGTTAGTAACGTGTTTATTAAACTCAACAATTTTTTTTTTTCAAAAAATATCGAGTCTGATATTGAAGAAAAAACAAAAATTCAATAACCGATTTTCCGATACTTCCAAGATCGGCCCAAGCGAGTTGAACTTCATCCAATAGAAGAATTTCGGAACCATTACAAACGTACATAATGGATATCTTGGCCTGTGATGGCGTGGTCCGAGTATATTTAAACGAGTTTTACGTATAATGATACCGACGATACGAACCATTGTCTCAGTAGTTCTCTGATCAAATTTGAAAAACCGAGGAAAAACTGGAAAATATAAGAAATGCAGGTATTACTTAAAATATATCATGGCCTTTTTTTTTCTGTGCACAATTTTTCTATCAGCAATTTTGCTCCAATTTGTAATGATTGCGATTTTTCTAAAATGAAATTCGCCTGGGAAGGTACTCTATGGAAGTCATTTTTTGATTTTCCCAAAAGTTTTCCCGACATATGTGAAAAACCGGGTTAAAACATGGAAAACCCGAGAAAAACGTAGCAAAACTGGAAAAATCGGTTAAACATTTTACAAATATTAAAGAAAATATATATATAAAGCCTATTGAGTTATTTTACCATAAAATGATGTGTACATTTGTTGACAAAGCATCACTATCAACCGAACTTTTCTCAGAATCGTTTTTTTTTTTTTGTAAGCAATGGCTTGTCGTTGCTTACAGGCACACGTCAAATTGTCTGTAACAGTGGTTGCGCCCGTCCCCGTTATCCAAAGACGTATTTTTCCATAATACAGCGTTCGTATCCCCGGTTTTTCCATAATTATCTCGTTATAGAAATTTCTTCATTCGCCGTTCTCTCGGTACACATTGTTCATGTAATGAATATTCTTCTGTAGCGTTACATTTCAAACGCATTTACAATTTCTTTAGGCTATCAATACTGACGTGGCCCGGGTTTCGCTACCGTCGTTCAACATTGCGTTCTAAACATTATTGAGTCTTCAATAAAACGTTCTACTAACGTTGTTTGACACCGTTTCGCCGTTAAACGTAATGTTAGCTCGGTCTCGCCCGACACGAGTGTGTAGGTATTTATACGGAGTGTGCGTGCGCGGTTGTCATCATTGTTGCAACCTATTCCGAGTCCTCTGACCGAAATACTTGTAATGTATTATTACGCGTATATAGGAAACGTTCGCAGCTGCAGCGGATCGATAATACAATAATATGCAGTAAGCCTTTCACACGAGGCGGCCCGGTATAATAATAATAATAATAATAGTATGTCTTGTATCACCTCTCGAACGTGTGTGTGCGGCGAGGGGACAAAAAGAAAAAAAAAAAAAAATTCGTGAAAAAATTCCTTTATACAGTATAATATAGGCGACGGGTATACGCGTACGCCTCTACACTACCGACGAGAGACACCTGTACTCGTCCGGAGGGTCCTTCTCTTTTCTTTCCCTGACTCCTATTCATGTACATTATATCACGAACCCCACGGGATATTGTCGTCGGATTTTCATTATTATTATTATTATTTCGAAATTGGGTGCCTACGCATACAATAATAATAATAATAATATGTTGTGTACGTATACCGTTTAAGGTGCGCGCAAACATCGCGTCACATATACCCATACACTGACACACACACACACACAAACGCACAAGCATGCACAAAACCCTCGTCTCTTGTGTCGAGTCGGCGGTTTAAACGAGCCTTATCCCCCGAACGGTCGGCGTGTTTGTGTGTTTTTATTGTGCACAGTGTATAAGTATCGAATATACTCTGGGACCGCAGCGCTAATAGAGAGAGACCCGTATCGTATTGTGCGCTACGCACACGAAAATACTGCGGGGGCGAACCGCGTTAACGTCTCGCCGTCATCCCGCAGAGATATTAGGTCGCGTTGACCGTATTGACATATTATTATATTATTATCGCTGTTGAAATTCGATACCGAATAAATAGTAGTATTATATAGGTACGGTCGCCGATCTATACACAGTATTTGTTTATTTATTTTAACTGTACGGTTTTGTTATCGTCGATATCGCATTGCGATCTCGGTCTTAGAAGATAACGCTGTCGGGACAGCGCAGCCTATCGTCTCTGTGCCAATATTGTGCGGTCGCTCAGAGAGACAGTTTCGGTTCACTTTTTTCCCATTTTTTTTTTTTCTTCTAGATAACGTCCCGAATCCAGTTTTATTGAGATCATATTCAAAAACGTCTAAGATCGTACTTCGTGTGACCCGTGTTTAAATCCTAATGCTATTTCAACTTAGACACGGTGATTTATGTTGTGTATTTTAACGTGTCGTCCGTCGGTCAGGCTGAGACAGTGAACGCGGTTGTGCTCTGCTCTTAGGAGGACGTTACAGCCCACACCCGCTGTCTCCGTTTTACAAAACGAACGACATAGCAAATTTGCGTTCAGCAGGGACGATTTTGTATTGTTAATTTTTAAATCAGTGCAGTGAATTGACCTAATACCATACTTAAAAATACGGACACACTTCGCACCACGCGGGCTACTGCCGTAGTTGAGAAGTTGGAAAGGTAGAGGGGAAATTTATTGTTTATCTGTACGCAACGATTGGCCGATTGCTAACGAAAAACCGATTCCGAGTGAAGTTCCGTTAACAGCGTTGCTTTGCCAATAATATACACGCATGTCATATTATGGATTATATATTTTCTTCAGTTATATTTGTTCGATGCTGAACCTATCTATTTCCCTACGTTTTTCCCGGATTTTCCCATTTTTTTTTTTTTTTTATGAAAACAGTTGAGAAAATCAAAATATTAGCTCCCTAAAGTACCGCCCCGGTCAGATTTTCTTTCGGGAAAAACGGTGTCGTAAATCGGAGCTAAATTTCCGGTACAGCAGAGTTGTTCACGGATATAAAAAAAAAAAAAAAACCACCGTTGTAAAACCAATACAATTCTCGCTCTGCTCGGAATCTAAAACGATAAGAATATTATCTGTATAACAACGCCGCCGATTTGTGAATTATCGCGGTTTAAAAATACTTATTTCTCACTTAAAAATTTAACTATCGAAAAACCGACGGACTATACTTTATATACAGTGTAACTGCGGTTACACAGATAATGTTCTTGTTTTTAACTTTGATAACAAACGAATTCACTCATATCTCTAATATTACAATGTAACAGCGTAAAATTTTCCCCGCTGTACGTGATTTTGCCGCGTCACCCGTTAGTTAGACTGAGCCTGCAATAAACGCGCGGCCGCGGCTTCTTTTTGAACGTGCACGTGTTACGGAGCGAAGCGAAACTGTAGTGCAACTCCGTGGATACCGAGATCGCCACCGATACTGTACGGCTATTCAATAACGTTATTATTTATTTTTTTTTTTTTTTTAGCTTGACGATGTTTCGACAATTATAAATCAACATACGCGTAAACGACACAAACGAACGGATATGATCGCATTGCGCGTACCTAAAGTTAGTGTAGTCTGCGAAATGCAAATATCTTGCATGCAGTTTTGTGTGAGCACGGGTATACATGACTTGCGAGTATTTTGCGGTCGGTTCAACCGGTTCGGTTCGGTTGGTTTTTGCCGTGGCCGGTGACGACCTCGATCGCTCGGACGAAATAATAATAATATAATATTTATATCTACTGGCCAAAACACATTCGCCGTCGTATAGTGCAGCGCGCGGCAAACACTTTGTGTAGTTCGCGCAGTACCGGTACGCGCAACAGGATAAAAAACGAAATTTAAAGGCGATTTCGCATATAGTGCGCGCATCGTTATTCGTCTCGTTGACATAATATATTATGTAAATAAACGAGCGTATTACTGAAAGAAAAAAAAAACGCATGTTGTAATTTTGGGTACGGATGTTGTGCCAATCGTACGCAATCCGTTACTAAAACGCGGTTTAAAAAATAAAAAAAAAAACACGAAATAATCGAGCTGTGTATAATAATATGGTCTTATACGAAATTATCGAAATCAAAAATATTACCGGCTTACGAGTCGGTACAAATTTCAAATTTAATAAGTAACAAAAAATATACGGAGGTATAAATTCCGCTTTTAGTGTGTCCCCGCCAGAGCCGCGTCAGACCGTTTGGCACCCAGGGACATTGGTTTTTAAGAGCCTCTCTCTTCGAGGCCTTACCCGAGGATTCAATTGAAGGATTTGATCCCCCCGAAATTCTTATTCTCGTACAATGTTATTAAATTCATATTCAAATTTTAACATTTTACTTCTGCCCCAAACATGATTCTTTCTTACTTTTGAATTTTTTTTCTGGGTACACATAAGGGTATTACATGTTACTAAGCTGTACATAGGTTCTCTTAATAACCAAATGTTCATTATTACTCAAAGCAAAACGTTTGCGAAAAACAACTAAAAAGTGACGTAATATTGACATTGTTAATTTTATTTCGAGCTTTAATCGAGCCGGGCTCCCGCCCCGGCTTTTTCAAATGCTTTAGCTCCTCGGGAAAAACACAATCGTTGCTCACCTCTTAACGCGGCCAAGGTTCCCACTCGAATATTCCCTGAACGTTCTTCTGCTGCGGTTCTTCGCAAAATATTATGAAATCGTTCTCAAATTCAATATAATAAACCTATTCGAATCCCGTATGCAGTCTCTATACAACGGCGCTACATGTTGTTTGGTCTATTCGGTCAATCAGACTAGATTTTCAATATCGACATAGAAATGTTTGTACAGAAACAGTGGCGTGCCCGGAAATTCCGAACGAGACGGGACGTGATAAACAACGATAAATAACGATTCGTGAACAATCGGTAGAATTTTTTCCCGGTTAATATAATCTGTACGCGACAATATAACGACAGTTTAAAAGTCAAATCCAAAAATTATCAATCGAGCTTTTAAACGTCGTACGACCTCACCGCAACGCGTAATTTCAGGATAAAATTCTAAAACAAACAACAATCATAGTCATTCTGTTTTAAAGTCGATGAGTATGTGTGTGTGGGGGGGGGAAGGTATAAAATCGCCCCTCGTGGGCACGGCACTGCGGTATAGAAAACAGTTTCTTGTATATCGTATCCAATCTCCCATAATACGAATGTATTCACCTACATTGGAATATTATTGTTGTACAAAAATATGCCTCCGCAACGGTCGAAAATTGCGTTAGTCAACAACTTTATCTGAACGGATGTATAGCACATTGACTCCGGATGGTGTAAATATAACGTGCGTCTCTGTTGGGGACGATTCGACACAATCACAATCATCCGTTGTTGACGGACTTTTTACAATTTTTTTTTCACATTTATTTTTTTATTTTTTTTTTTAGATTATTCCGTCTGCTGAAAGGAACCATTATCCTCTGCCGCGAAATTATCCCGCAGTTTCGATGGGATTTTATTTTAGACGTGCTCACATTTGCAAATACAAAACAAAATTGTAAATAACCGATAAAACAACGGCGTTTACCACGTGTAAAAACAAAATTTACTGTAAATACGCATGGTGCCTATACCCTTTGCTGCATCCCTTTCCGTTGATAACAATGCCTGGGCACGCCACTGTACGCACGTATACAAAAATCGAAAGTCGCGTAAAATGATTTATTTAAATAATTCATTGTTTATTATTGTGCATTATACGTGTTATAATTATTAACAGTAAAAAATGTATTCATTTAATCAAACGTGATATTTTATACTACAATTCCGTTTTCAAAATAGGTAGCGTACCGGTAACAAAACCACATGTAAGTATATTTAATAAAAAAACACATTTTTTAAACTGTTTCTTTCTCACACGACGATACATATTGTTGCATTGTATATATAATGGTTTTTTTTTTTTTTTTTTTAAATATTTTCTACACACTGACGTCTGTCAATCGCGTATAAACGTTCCAATATATGATTTTACCGAGAAAAACTTCATTCGGCGTCAGTGGATGTTATCGGCACACTCCGCGTACTTGAAAAAAGGTTTAATCATCACCAGATCTTCAGATATTCTCGTAAAAAATTTTAATTCTTTCGATATTACACCGAATCCGTAATTTCCGTTTAACATTCGTATATCTACCATGCGTATGAAACATCCACGTCGTTTCGGCCGGGCAGAAACGCCGGGAAATCGTACGCGGATTTCGCCGTGCTTTTTACAACGACAATATTATCGTCGATATCGCGTGGCCGCGTATCCGCGTACGGTCCGCGCGAAAAAAAACCACTGCGCCGCCGAACCGGCATCGAAACGTTCGAAAGGCGTTCGGATAAACACACGAGTGTGCGCACCGGCGGTGGCGATAAAACCGCATTAACGTGTACGGGCTATTTTCGAGAGACCCTTTGAAAAATCCGCCTCCCGGGCCCTTTCGGTCCCGGTCCGACGCTGAGCGCGCGCGCATGTGCGCACGCGTATATATAGCTCCCGGCTGGCAATCCAAATAACGCGTCGCGGCCACATGGCGTTCGCCCGTACACACGCGCCACTGTCGCCGGCCGAACGTTTCCACCGAGCGTCTCGCGCGCGCGATACCGTGCCCGTACGTTCGGTATATTAATAATATACACGAGTCGGACTCGAGAAAATGAAAATAGCTCGGAAGACACGTGCGCGTGTGCTGGTTTCGAAAAACAGAGATACGGATTATTATACGTGTCGCGCGCGCGCGTGTGTGTACACACACACACACACACACACACACACACACACACACATATATATATACATAAATACACGAGGGAAGTGTGGGTTTGTGTGTGCGCGCGCGCGGGACCGAACGAGCCGGATGAAAGTCTGCCAAAATTACACGCGTGGCAGACATCGCAAACACCTGGACCGGAGAGAACCGAAGAACTTGCGGCGCGCGCGACTGTATTATACGCGTACGCCACGTGTGCGAGTACGGGAGAGAGCCGAGAGAGGGGAAAAAAAAAAAAAACAACAATAATCATAAGAGAACCCCGTCTTGTCCGTGCACAAGCTCTAAACATAGTCCTACCCCTAAGTACGCGCGGCGGGCACACACGCCGAGGATCCTCGCGGTCCGCGGTTTTTTTTTCCCGTACGAAACGCCGCAGCAGACGTCGACGAGCGGCGGCCCCGCCGCGCGTTTTAAAATTAGCCGGTCGCACGTGTACGATAAAAGCGCGCGCGGCCTCCGACACCGCAGCAGTCGTTTGATATTAATATTATTGTTATCGTATACGGTTTTCGGTCCGAGGAACAATGTCCCTGAGGATTCCAGATGGAATTATTCCGTCCGTTCGGTCCCGAGATATTCGGTCGATTCCTCCGATCAGGGTCGAAACGGTTAACAGTCAAGTTACGAGTCCGTTTTAGTTCGATAACTTATGACTCGACTATAACTGTATATAAGTAGTTGGAACACGACGGGATTGTTTGCAAATAACTCGTTTATCCCCGAATCGTCTTGACACTGTTGTCGTTAAAATTTTAATTTTAGTCTTGAAGGTTATTTTTTCGAATTTAGCGAACATTCGGATTACAATATTTTGGTATCGCGTTACAAAACCTTGCTGGCTGTTCCTTCTTAACACCGGGATTCCTATTAACAACTGTCCGGTACGGCACTCCGTTCGATGACTCCTTGAGGATACCCAAAGGGGCCTGGAAAAAATCTCCTAAATATTATAATTTCTCACTATGTTATACAAGTGTTGTCGTATTCAACGGTCGGGTAATTACGGCATGCGTTCGAAAGCCGGGAGGACTGGCCGCGGATTGACGTAAGGAGAAATGCGTTTGTCTTGTAATGGCTGAAAAAAACGATGAACGATAATCGATCAGGTCCGATTCGACGCGTATATAATGGCAATACGATATGGCACGCGAACAAAAACGGTTCGGTGCGACAGCAAATTATAATTGAACGTAAAATTGTATATTTTACCGCCGATAACGATCGTGTGCGTTATTTTATTTTCCGAACGCCCCGGTGCGTTGCGTTGCGACGGTTCGTCACCTCTCCGGATTTTGAAGGCCTCGGGCGCGACAAAGACCGAACACATCCGCTGTCGACCCTTCGGCGGATCCTCCTCAGGCGTCAGATCCCGCGAACCGGCGGCCCCGTAAAACGCGTCATACAGACACTGCAACCGTATTTACGGCGTGCACTAATGTTTAATGATATACCTGTTCAGCGCATAATATTACCGAAAGAGAATGCCCGTACACGCCGGGCACCGCGCGCGGAACGTATTACAATCGAAACGTCGAGTGTGAAAAAAAAAAAAAAATAACAATAATAATAAAACCGATTCGATTCGTAATAATTATACGCCGTAGCGGCATGAACTGTGGCCCGTGGCCTTTGGGCGACCCGCGGCAAAGCCGAGAAACGGCGTTTTTGCCACTGTACAAAACCGGGTTTGGTGTACCGTACGTTATTTACTCGTTACACTCGTCCGAGTCAATAAATTAATCGAATCGCGTGAACGATATGCGATATTATACGCCTAGCTGTAAGACGCGTTGTACCTTTGGCCACGGGGAAGAAAGGCTCGAGTAAACTGTTTACGGTTTTCAATACAAGCAGGCGCGTCGTTCGACGGATTCAGGCTATACTTTGGTATCCTTATATTTTTAAATGGTTTTTTGGGCCGCATAAAATGTTATAATTGCGCCGTTGTCGATACAATGCAAAAGGTAATCGAACCAATGGCCGCCTTGAAATGTGAGATCGAGACTTGTGTGGATTTTTACCACGAATAATTGTAAACTGTTAATTGTTATCAAGGCTAAATAAACGTACGTGTTAGCAGGATAACGGTGAACGTCGAAACTGACGTCACGTGGAGTAAATCGTGGTAGTTAAGTATTTGGACTAAAATAAACAAAAGTCATAGTTTAGTATCGATCAAGTGTCAACAAACCTTGTACTTGAATGTTAAAATAAAAAACAGGAATACGAATAAAAGCGAGTGAAACGATTTTTAGAAAAATTCGCCTGGTTCAAATGTTTGCATCTCTATTGAAAAACTGAAATGACGCCCCTGAATACAAGCGAATTAAATGTCAAAAATACATAATACACGTTACTATATGCACATTACCAGTGGCGCGTCCGAGGATTTTCAGCGGGAGGCAATGTGGCAAATAATAATCATGGAAAATCGTCGAACTTCATTCTCTACTCGACTCGGCTATAATGGGTGTTTGAAATCCGGATCCAGAAAAGCGGTTTTTTAAACAATCAATCAGACTTTTCCTCTTAACTTGTTTGAATTATATACATTTCAAGATTAAATTACTAAAAAAATACCCATGGGTATGCATATTCGTTGCGTTTTCAAGCCAATAGGAAGGAGAATACAATCCCTAACCTCGATCCCCCTGTGCATTACACTAATTATGAAAATAAACGCGCGTATGCCATTGAGACGATTAATAAATAAATGAAATAAAACTACGTCATAAGCAGAACGCGGATTTATATGCAATAAAAAACCAACCAAATATGCGCTAAAAAATCTCGAATATACATACACATATACATTAAAATGTTAAAAATGTATTTTTTGAACATTTAAATAAAACGAAATATGCACTAAAATATGAAATGTGCAATTGAAATTGTCAAATAAGCCCTGAAAATAGAAAAAAATGGGTAAATTTCGAAACGCGCAAAAATATATGCTCTAAAACAAACACATTTTGTGCACACTCGGCGTTTCATATGATCAATCAGAATAAATATCCGCGCTCTAATCATAAGACACAATTATATAAACGAAAAATTACCGAAAAACCGATTTGAGCCATTCTTCCCCGGGACCCGCAAAGATATTGTGTTTGAGGACTATTAAGTTGTCGGCTCGATTTTTTTCGAGAGAGAGATAATGACGTGGAGCTATGGAGACGGCATGAATACGTGATGGCCACTTGCTGGCCGTACCGAAACAACATTTGTCGAATACTTTTGAACTGAACGTAAATGCTGTTAACCACGCCCACGTACATTCGGCGTCACCGATAAAACATTTATTTTTTCTAAATTCAAACCATCAACGCGGTATTCTCATCGGAGATATCTGGTACCGGAGATACTATCGTGATTTGTACCTGGATGTGACGTATACATTATACGTATTTATTTTTTTCGAATAACACAGTCGAATACACGTCAGAATTAAAAAAAAAAAACAATTTATACACTCGTCGGGCCGCCGCCGTTTAAAAACGGATACGATAATAACGATAATTATCGGTTATTACGGTGTGTCTTGCGTATACAAACAAAACGTCTTGTTCGACGCGTATAGTTACACGTCACGTAATAATATTATAGGTAACCGTTCGACCGTGTTATTATTATACCGTCGGTCTAATATTCGACGACGTATTCTGCCGGACACTGCCGGGTTAATAATAATAATAATAATAATAACAACCGCGTCGTTCCGGAAGGTGTGTCGTTGTCTGCACTCGTCGTCGATCACTGTCGATACGTTTAATAATACCCGATGCTCATCGCGCATACGCGACGCTGTGTTTTTTATCTAAATAAATACCTATTTTTTTTTTTTTTCTATCTTGCATCTTATCTGTAGGTAAACGAGAAACGATTTGAAATCGCTTTGTTCAACGTGACAAGGCTGCGCTTCGGAAAATAATAATAATAGTACCCTACAAGCCTACAGTCATTGATACTTTATTTGTGTGTTTGTTCATTTGTGTTATTGAGCGTAGGGCACTGCAGTGAAATTCACTTCTTCAAAAGTCAGCGCGTTACTTTTTTTCGCTTAAAATAAGGAAAATTCTGTTGTTTTTGTTAATCTTATAAAAATTCTTACAAATTGAAATATTCTTATTGATTTATAGTGAAAGCTCTCCAAAACACTCCTTTTGAGCAGCGAACTCTTCACGATTTCGAGTCAATTTTTTACGTTCCGGTTGGGTAATCATGATTCTGTTTTGTGAAAAAGAAGCCCTAGGTAGCAAAATTTGCTCTCTTTTCATATTTGTGAAAAATTTAGTGTTTCCTGCCCACTTACCGACGTTACTTACCGAAATAAATCACTATTCATCGTTTCAAAAGTGCAATCCAAGTCGATAACGATGCATCACCAATACTACAGCTAGACAGACATCCATTTGACCGTTTAAAACAAAAAATACCTATACGAGTATAGAATCCCATAGTTTTAGAAAGGTGTACAACATCATGGTGATAATATTATGATAAGCTATAATATAGCGCGGTATATCAAAATGCATATAGACGTACCGGGCTAAAGTGTACTTTAGCACGTCCCTCAAGAATTTATCCTATTATTCAGTAGGACACTGCCCTCATTACAGCTGTATCAAGTTGAAAATGGCTGGGGTAGATAAATAAGCGATTAAAAATTGTTCGTTATTACGGTTTGGCTCAAATGGTGTTCACTGAATTCAACCCGACAAAGAATGTCTAACAAATCGAGATTTACTTTCGATGTTTTTTATTCGTTTTATAAGTCTGACAATGAGCTCGCTTTGATCCTTGAAGGTCTAATTTCTTTTTATTAATTTATCGACATTTTTATTATTCGTAGTACAAAATTTAAAAAAAAAAGAACGGATACATATCTTCGCATATGGGTGCAGCCAATTTTGTAGGTGGGAAGTTATGAAGGTAGGATACAGCCGGAAATTTAACGTATACCTGTAAGCAACGATAAACCATTGTCAACGAAAAAACGATAGAGAACGGAGTTCAGTCGATAGTGTTACTTTGTCAACAATATATATGTCATATTATGGTCAAATGAGTATAAAAATGTGCGTTTCCATGATAACAATGATTGTTTAAAAAATATTAAAATAATAAAATCTTAATAATTACAAAAATAAATAAAAACGGTTCCAAATGACAACCTTATTTTTAATCTAAAGAATCAGATTTTCGTTATTATCTCCAATATTAATAAGATTTTCAAAAAATGACCTCTTCAAGTACGGCCCCGAGGACATTCTTTTTCAGAAAAGATGCTATACGTGATAATCGGAGTATGCTTTCTGGTTGAAAGTGTAAACACAAAAAAAAAAAAAAAAAACATCATTGTAAAACCAATACATTCCACACACCACTCGGTATCTAAAAATTTAAAAACCGTGAAAATGTATTAATTCACGTACTGTTTATAGTGACATACCTACAGTCTTCAAATCATTATTTCTGAAATAATAGTTTCAACAAAATTCTGAATGCACCATCATCTTCGGCATTAAAAGTCTCGTGTTTTTAAATTGTTTTTGAAGTTTTCGAGTTGAAATGTGGCATCATAAAATTCGTTTAAACTATTTTTCCACGACTGCTCAATGGTTTTCGTAAAATAATTCAAATATTTCAAAAACAAAACGTGGAAATACGAGTCTTTTAAAAACATTTCGAATTTTTGAGGGGCGTGGTAAAGCGCACTCGTTCCGACTTAACGTTCAAGTGTTAGTCCATTCGCTAAAACAGACAATATGTTATTAATTTTTACGCGGTAAAAGTAAGGCGCACACGCCCTTTGCTGACCACTGCGGCACACAATGTCGTCCGTGCATGATATTTTGGGTTTCGTTGCGCGCGTCGTCGTATACGCAAAACTGGTCGTCGACCGGCGGAATTTTACATAATATTGGAACGTTGTTTTTTTTTTTTTTTTTTGTTGTTGTTTTACTTTACTTCTGTTAGCTCCGTAGACGGTCGCGATTTTTTTTTTTCCTTTTCAGGTCATTCGAGAACGCATAATATTACATGCCGTCAGTCCGCCGCGAAGTTTCTTTTCTCTCCCTCTTCTCCGGCCGGCCGAGCGTTATTTTATTATCATTATTATTATTATTATTGCGGTTAACTGCAACGACGACGACGACGACGACGACAATGTTCGCAAGAACTGTAAAAACAACAATATTTTTTTTCCGCTACGTCAAAATATAAACGACAACGATGCCATGTCACAAAAACATTCGAATCACGCAGACAAATTTTATATATCTTCGCGACAAATCCGCAATCGCAAAGCGACGCCGGCTAAATTTCCACAACAGGATAACTCGCGTCGCTTTAAGAGTTTTTTTTAATTTTTTTTTATTATTAACAATCCGCAGTGTGATATCGCGATCGACGGATGTAATGTGTGCCTTCGCTCGTACCCATCCGTAGCGACTAACTGTAATTCGTTTTGAGATCCTAGGAATAATAGCTATTCCTATATCCAACATAATCCACTGTTTTAGATTACTTGGTTTCTCTTCAATTTTTTCTTCAATTATAAATGTTACCCGTGTGATATTCCTTATCATAAGACGCCTCATCCATTTCTATCTTCTCTCCTCCGCTGTCGTCCATATCGACCTCCTTTCGTTTACCCTATTTCTGGTTCTGTCCACGAGATTTTTAACACTCTGTACATGTAACACTCGGTTTCTAATGCTTCCATTTTTCTTCTATCAGCTTTCAATATTGTCCATGATCCTGATCCATACAATCGGACACTCTAAACCATTTTTTTTTTATGAATGCTCTGTGGTAACGTTCACGGGAACGGGGGAAAGTCATAATCACTAGACATTTCGGTCTCATTACTCGCAACGCTCATTGGTCATTAAACGTTGTTGTTATAACTATCAACAATAATTTATTTTAGAAATCTGCAGGCATAGTAGGTTTTTATCATGTTTATGTTTATCGTATTTGTGGTGAATAGATTTTACTGCTTAAAAACACCTGTTTGGCTAGTGCTATTCTACAATTTATATCTGCGGTAGTTTTCCCGTCGCTTATAATTTTGCTTCCAAGGTTTGATCTTACGTAAACCGATCAGATTTCAAAACAGTACAATAACCTTTTTTGTTTTTTTGAAAAACCTGCTCGCTGCAAATTTACATGTTTTTACTACGATAAAAATAAAATTTCTTAATAATTAGCCCGAATGGTTAAAACCCTGCGCAAAACACGGTTTTTTACACACAATTTTATGGGCGATCGACAATAAACTGAAGATTTTCGACCGGAGAGATAATATGGTTTTTTTTTTTTTAATTCCTATACTACTTCAGAATATGTAAACCGTCCAGTTTCGTAACTCGATTACACTTTTTTCGCTATTTGCTTGAAAAAAAATATTATGGTTACTCTTGACGTTACCCAGACCTTGAAGGAGGCTTAATTTCAAAAAAAAAAAAAAAATAAACGTATTGTATCGTTTAAAAAACCATATAATATACTGTTCAAGAACATTTCGTTTGTGTTTTCCTATTTTAAATACGAGACGTATATATGTCCGTGGAGGGGGCCGAAGGGGTACAACACGTAGTAGCTTTTCCGTAGATACCTATGCGTTAACAATTAGTCATAACAGTTTAACAAAAATGTCAATATATTATTGAAAAATTCAATTAAAAATAATACGTTATCGTCTCCCTCTCCTCTGGGGTTTTAAAGACGGACGCCCTCGAATGGACGGTCTATGATTTCGTTCGTATCGTCGACAATGTATATTCCAATACAAAAAGAAAACGGTCTTTTCAAAGTGCATACAATATATTGTCCGGGAGGTGGGAAAAGCATGCACGGAAAACGCTCGGCTCGCGTTTAATGGTTTTACCGTCGTGCGCCGATTTTCGCAATTTCACAGCCAACGTGCTGTTTAATCGTTATTTCTCGATTGGCGTATATGAAAATCGCGTTAATTCGCGTTTTACACTATCATTTTATTACCTCGGAGTGGCCTCCTAATGACGGCAGCAAAATTATTATAAGTATCGAGTATATACATGTATACTGTGTACGTATTACTGTACGCGTTATTGCCAGCAGAACACGGAATAGTAATACGCAACTCTCAAAAATCCACCTTGAAACATACGCGATCGTTTCTGTGGCGAAACTATCGGATGTTTCGAGTGTAATGGCTTCACGCGCGTATACATAGGGCGCGCCAGTAAATTGGACACATTGGACCGAGGGAACACCGAGTATGTGCGATAGTTTCGGAATGTATAGGATTTGTCAGCGATAAATTAATATTATGATGTGTTGTCGAGAACCGTTCAAAATGTCGAATTTAATCTAAAATAAACTATCGGTTTTCAACGATGCGAAATATCAGGGCACGACGAGGCTCGTGTTGATCCGATAACGGCGTGGAAAAACAAACATCGCCATTGTACGCTAGTGATATACAATATCGGGTAAATTTTCGAAAACTTAAAAACCCCGGAGGTTTTCTCAAAAGATAATTTTGAGCGGAATCGTATAGACGGACAGATGTCGGCGATTCGACCGGATCCGGTGGCGCGCTCAGGAATTTTAAATTGGTGTGGCTATAAGCAAATAACAATCGTGATTCGAGAATTCAACGTTTTCTTCCGTTATACCTAACCCGTTACCACCAAATCAGACAATGAAACTTTGAAAGCCGAATCCAAAAGAGCCAATTGTCATTGAACAAATCAAACTTGTTTCCTTGTGATTTGACTAAAACGTACAATTTCAAAATATAATAGTTAAGCTGCTGTAATTTTAAGCCAATGCGAGTTTAACCATTAACCTGCCGTCCCTAAGCGGGTCACTGTCCGGAACTATATACATAAGAGTATTACGTGCGCTCGGAGTGAAAATAATGGGGCGAAAACTGCAGTGGCGGCGGTCCGGTGTCGCGGGGAAATAATGCGACATTGTCGAAACCGACCGCACGTGGGTTTAGGTTATAGGGTACGTGTATACCGTAATGGATTACGAAAATATTAAAAGAGAAACGAAAACCCGACGGCGGCGGTTTGAAAAAAAATATTAAAAAAAAATAAACTAACAATACAATATTCTGACCGGAGGCCGCGGCCTCCGGGGTCCGGGTCACGAACAACGCGATCGCGGTGTATACGTACGTGTCGAAAAAACCTTGGGCGGCACCGAATTCGCGTTACACAACGCGAAGATTGTTGACACGCATTCGAGCGGTTTTCTACCGCCGCCGCGTACCGATCACGCCGTAGAAAAACGACTACGGCGGCGTTAGAAAAAGAGTTCGCTATCAAAAGACCTTTTTTTTTTTTTTTTTAGAGGGATTTACTTTATGTACATCCTGTACGGAGTATAGGCGGTTTTTCAAATTCTCGTGTACTAGAGCCCGAAATATAAATGTATATACAGGGCGGTCTGCGGCGAAAATCAGACGGCGAAAAAAACTCGACGGTTTCGAATAAGTAACTCGTAAACGACCAAAAGTCTTTCGGAAATCGTCCCGTGTCTATAGAAAATGCTTGCGTAAAGGTATTCGGTCACAATAATCGGAGATCCATAAATTATACGCTGTTAAATGGACGCGCGACACGCGTTTGTATTGTCCGGCAAATTTGAGTTTAACCGGACGGATTTGTCGCCGTTAGTTTTAATATTAAAACGAATTGACCTAATATTATCATCAAACTTCAAGGGACGATCGCGACTGGGCCTCGGGTTTTTTCGATATTTGAATTTTTAATCGAGACGTGGGCATTTTTAAATTGTCGTATTTCACGCGCATTGTATCTGGAAAATTGAAACCGATGCACCGTCACGGTTCTTCCCTTTAAGATTGATTAGTATTGACTCTGAAAACTAAAACCGCAGACGGTACCACCGAGTTGGTGGTTTATAGAGTTGGTTCTATGCACGAATCAGCAGTGTCGCGCGTAAAACGGAGACGACAAACGCGTGTGTGCACAGCGTCCGCTTAAATCTTAATCGATTTTGTCGAAAACTCCGCGACGTTACGTAAAACTATTGTCCGTTCGTTGTTTCCCGTCGCGTTTCCCCGATTGTATCGATAGGAAAACGTGCGTTCAGCGGGGACAACTTTGCGCGGTTCGTTTTAATATCGCAGCGTATTGGCCCATTATCCCGAACTCGAAGACAAGAACCTAACCCGTGGTTCGCTGTTGTATTTGTTTTTCGTTGTTTTAGTTTTCGTGCGAAATAACAGTGCGTGTGTGTGTGTGTGTGTGAAATATCGATACGACAGATTTTAACTAATGACACTAATAACACGTACAACGCACGCTGTTGAACGCGCGCGCATTTATCACGTCGCACGTTTGCAAGGCGTTTTCTACACGGAAAAACCTCCCGCGACGGTTTTTCAACGGAGCCGCCGTCTCTCTTCTGCAGGTGGAAATCTTGCGGTTTGCACAGACAGACAACACGAAACGCACAAATGTACTCGTGGAAACCGCGGGGGAATTTATCGCGCTCGCCGGGCGGGCTGTACACGACTTGTTTTTGTTTTTCGTTTTGCGATATTATGGTGTTGTTGTTTGACGTGCCGACGGACGGAACAATGGCCGGAGACTCTGTCGGAAACAACAATACGCACACGGCGGAGAGAGGATTGGCCGACTCGACACAATAATTCGCGCGTTGCGATCGAGGAGATGACGTGTACGCGAACGTGCGTCCGCAGGGGTTCCGCGTGTTCTTTACCGGGGCGTGGCGGAAAATTCGCGATTTTTTTCCCGCGGACGGAGTTCGCCAAATTTCGTCTTATAGTATAAGACTCGCTTGTTTTGTTTACGAAAGCCGCGAGAAAAACGCCGCGAATAACCAAAACACGTAACGATATCCGGTATAATATTGTTAACGGTATTGACATTTCAGTGCAGTGTTCGAAAACCCACCCGGAGTGAGGGTGTGTTGATCTGCCGCTCCTTATTGACTATTGATTTCGTGTGGAGCGGGGTTTTTTTCAACAAACGAATTTGTATCGGCTGAAAAATCCGACAATCGATCGCCGTGTATTATCGAAATGCGTTTTTTATAATCGCCGGAAACGGTGGCCCGTCGACGGCGTTTGTGTTTTTTTTTTACTCCATTATATGTATTATTTCGGAATTGTTCATCGGTCGCCGAGCGCACTGCACGTGTGCGGCGGTATGCGGTAATGGGTTCGTGACGCGCACACGGTTGTATTCCGACGGCGATGATAATATTATTATTATTACTACAACAATAATGATGTTGTTGTGTACGCATAGAATAATTGCGTCACGCATTTTAATTTTTTTTTTTTTTTTTAGAAAGTTACGAACCCGCGCGAACATCATTCGCGCGGACTATCGGTGCGAATATACGGCGATTGTTCGAACCCGAGGAGGTGCTACAGTTTCGAGGCGAGCGTAAAATATAAGAAAAAAAAAAAATAAAAATAGTCACCGACTATCGAGTCGACATACGAACGTTTTATACTATTGATCGCAACGCCCGTTTACGGCGCCACGAGCGCGGGTAGAGGAGGTGTTTCCGTCGACTTTTCCGACAGTAATAATATACTACAGAACGCCCTGTGCCTTGAACGGGGTATTTGCTTATATCTTGCTTACGGATTGCATAGGGAAATAGATATCAATTATCAGTGATGTATTGCTAAAAAAACCGTGGTTATACGCCTTAATTATGGGTGTATGGACATCTAAAGGTATAGGGTCCAAAACGATTTACAATGACATTTTTTTTTTCTGAAAGGAAATCGGACTGAGGAGGTACTTTAGGGAGGTCATTTCTCGAGAGAAATTTCTCATCAAATGCGGAAAACCGAAAAAACCGGCGGAAAAACAGGAAAATGTACGAAATTTATTAGTAAAATATTAAGTACAATATTATCATCATGCATCACTCAACGAGTTATCACAATAAGAACACAAAATTACATTAAATATTATGATAAACGATATTGGGGGATTCGGTGGACCGAAGTCCACCGGTCCCCGAAAAAAAAAAAAAAAACATATTTACTTTATTGATAATTCGATTATGAATGCTTAATAACAAGACTGATAACAAAAAGTTATTTTTAAATGATAATAGTTTAAAAAAATTAGGTGTAGGTAGGTACTATAAATCGTAAGATAATTATTGAAAATTCGTTTAGTTCTAATTAGTGTTTCGATTTAAATGGCACAAGTGCATGTGAACGAGCAGAGATAAAAATATACGAGTATTATAATGGAGAATTTTTTTTTTTTTTTTGTTCTGTTTCAACTGTTTTAGAGTAGGCATATAGTGTACGAATATAGTATAAGTTACGGGAACACCACTGGTTAAATACCTCCTCCCCCGCATTGGCTCAAAAACACAACTGTAAACGAGTGCGTATTTATATTACGTATATTATTAACACGCGTACGTATGTATTTATATTAAAACGTTTAGAAATTTTACCTCCTCGAAACTGTATATTGTTTCGGGCAAGTTATTCCCGAGGAAACGAGCATTGATTTATTTGAACGAAAATCGGTCTTCATCATAGTGGTCGCCGTACGGTCGGGTACCTATGTAACAGAAGAGGATCCGTTCGCGAGTCGCGATTAATTTGTCTACTACATAATACATGCTAATACTTCCTCTCCTCCGGTGGACATTTCCCTGGCACACGCCACCGCCCGAGCAAAGGACATCAAACGTTTTCATCGAAAGAAAACTGTTCGTTGTTGGCGTTTAAACTGATCGATTTTCGAGAGGACTTATCTCCCGCCCCGTATAACTTTACAACATAACCAACCGAGCGTATAAGGCTCAATGATGTATTTTATTGTTTCGCAATTTTTAGTACACCACGTGTATAATATACTTACTTGCTTAATGAATGATGGTTCATAATAAATTAACGCGTCCTTCGGTATGCGATTTTTCGGTTTTGTATATATATTTTTTTTTTTTTTTTTGTTTTGTTTTCTGTAGCAATTTGTACACCATCGACTTTTCGAAAAAGGTCGATTTTACCGTAGTTCAGCTGAAAAAAAAAGTGTGGTGTATGTTTTTTTCCTATCCTGTTGAGCCGAACGACTCAACCATAAAATACGATTACGTTTGGTTTTTCACAGCTTCGGGGAAAATAGTTTTTATAAGTATTCAGAAGGAACATTCGAACAATACATACAAAAAATGTACAGAGGTCGAGTTCGGATGACTTAAGGAAATTACGGATATGATACGGTTAGGTGACTAGGATCGCACTACATTCCGAATTTTTAAGGAGAAAGATGAAAAAAAAAAAAAACCATATTTTCGCATAGAATTCGCTCGGACCGGACAAATCATCAATACCATGTTATTTTCCGTATCCTGTAGTAGACGGACTCGCATTATTTTCACGCCAAATCATGTAGCGCTCGTTGCTTCACTCTAATAAACTCTCAAAGAGTCGTTTTAGACTCGCCTTATTGTTTTTTCGCGCCGAGCCATGTTCAATAGTTGGCGATTTTTCAATCGGCTACCGGCCGGCGGAAATCACGCGCGGTCCGCGAACAAACCTGAATGGTTTCGTACTGACCGAAGAAGTGTTTTCCGAGGAATTAGATGATGAACGCCAAAACCGTCGAACGCTAAAAAGACGCCGAGGAAAAGTATATATATATTTTTTTTTTTTTGACACTTTATTCGGAATACTACTCCGCGTCCGATTGTTAGGAAAAAAAAAAAAAAAAAAACCGTCATCCGAGACAACGCACGTGACGATGACGCGGTGACTTTTGGACTCCGGACCGGCGGCCGCGAGAGTTTTTCGTTTGCACGGCGATTAGGAGCCGCGAGCGCATAACGCCGCCGCCGGTGCTGCACCTGAGTAAATATCGTATTGCATTATAAAACGTGTTCGCCCCGTCGTTGAGCGGGGCGAAAAAAGATAGGACGTGATGTCAGTAAATAAACAAATCCGATACGGTTTTATCTGCGTTTTGTAATAAATCGTTATTATTATTATTATTGTTATAATATTATAATGATATAAATATCGAATTAAAAGCTAATAACTCAATAAGTACACGATAGGTATATAATGACAATAGTTAAAAATAATAATAAAAAAAAAAAAAAATACCCAAACAATATTAAATCATTTAATAAAAGAAAACAAAATAAGAGAGAAAAAAAAATAATAATAATAATGATAAAAAGTATTCAAAGGCGAAAAAAGCGCTGATATACGCACATACACATCAATAATACCAGGCATGCATAGTAATAATAATAACAATAATACGACGACGAGTCCCTCTCTTGCATAGCCGGGCCGATAACGACGTAATAGTTTTCATATTACGTTCGATCATCGTCGGTTTTATGTTCTGCGTTATTTTTTTATTTTTTTTTTTTTTTGTTTTTTAAAATACACGATGATATAACGTCTAGGATTTGGGTCGCCTATATTAATCGTTATTCTCCGATAATATGCGCTACACGAATATATATATATATGTATGTATACACGTAAAGCTAAACGTGTATATAATTATAATAATAATATATGTATATAAATACTAAAACCTAGGCTAAAAAATAATATAATATTGATAGGATCACAGTCGTAACGAAAAAAAAAAAATAATAATAATAATAATAAAATAATAACAATAATTAGGATTTTAACCTAAACTATATACAGTGGCAGAAAAAAAAAAAAAAATTAAAAAAACGACGAGCTCTGACGAGAACCGAAATTTCGCGAGTAAATCGACCCGCCTCTCTGCATAACGTTACAATGTTATTGGAATGTATTTTAACGTGTTTCGTATTGTATTACATTCGATAGAGCGAAAAAACAAAAACAAACGGTTTTCCTCGACGGTGGCCCGTAATACGAGCGTACGACGGTGGCTACCGCGGCGTCTCGGTGTCGGCGGTTCTCGGGCGGTGGCGACGGCGAGCAACGTTTTCTAATTTTTCTTTTCTTCTCCGTGTCAGTATATTATATGATATATAATTTTGAATAAGTAATAATGCGCGCGAGCAGTACGCGTATTACAATAATATTATTGTCGGTGTCTAACAGCTAACGGCTCTCGTGTCCGACGGATTCGATAGCTTATTGTCTTGCGGACGGGAAGCCGGGGAAATTGTCTGGAAAAAAAAAAACCAAAAAAAAGCACAAATAAATACTCATGTCGCAAAAAAAATAAAATCGGGTACAACAGCGCAAACCGAATGGGCGGAGAGAATGGGAAACGAAATGCCGACCGTGTTCACCTATACCCAAATACGATATTATACTACACCGATTTGGCGACGGGACGGCGAAAACTCCCAAGAGAAAGTCATCGTACGGACGTGCGGCGCACGCGGGAATAGATAAAAAAAAAAACCGTTCGTGAACTATATTCCGTTACGCGGACGTGCCGAGTGTATTATACGGGGTGTAGGCGGTATGCGTTGTCTACGTAATATCACAGGTGTAAGTATCGGTATAAGTAACTCACCGGTCCGGCGGACGACTGCGGTTGGGCGGCGACGGCCACGGCGGCTGCCGCGGCCAGGGCGTTGGGCGTCGATATGATTCCCAGCGGTTGCCGGACGGCGGCCACCGAGGACGAGAGCATGACGGCCGCGGCGGCCGAGTGCACGGCGTCCGCGTTCACCGACCTGTGGTTTTCCAACATGTCCTCCAGGTCGCATATGTAATCGATCACGTGATGGATCACCTCCAGCCGGGATATCCTCTTGTCCTTGGGTATCAGCGGCACCAGGTCCTTGAGCTTGGCCAGGTACTTTTGGATTTTCTCGTCTTCCACGTCGTTGCCGCGCGGTTTGCGGTGCACCCGACCGCCGGACACGGCGCCGGTGCTGTTGTTGTTGTTGTTGTTGTTGTTACGGCACATCGGTACGGATTTCATGATTGCGATTATTGTTTATCGACGGAAAACGCGAAGTACCAACGAAATCGTTGTTGAAATAATGTGAATCGGCAACGCACACACCGGTGGGCAACTCGACGTCGGGCGAGATACACGGAGCAGCGTGTAGCGCGAAAACTGCTGAGAGTCGACGAACTCGGTTGTGGGAAAAAATATTCCGGACGGAGAACGTGAAAAACGTCGAACCGGACTCGGTGAGAGAGCGGAGAGCGAGAATGAAAAAGAATGAGAGAGAGAGAGAGAGTGCGAGAGAGAGAGAGTGAGGAGCGTGTAAACGGCACGGTGAACGGAGTTCGACTGGTGTCGGTCCGTACCGTCCGGGTGATATTTATAGAGCTCGGCGGCGGCCCCGCCGGGCCGGCGGGGGGGGGACGTCGGCGCAGGCCACGCCCGTCGTAGCCGGAGCGGCGGCGGACGAGATTGAATGGATTTCAAAGAGACGCGCGCGCGCGCGCTCGCCCGCACGCCCGCACGCACACCGGCCGCACAAAAAACGACGGCGACGCGGACGCGCACACCTGACACCTGCCTCGGCGGCGGCCACCGAAAAATACCGCAGAGGATTTTTACCCCTGCCCCTCGTCGCCGCCGCACCGCCCCGCGCGACCGGTCGCGTCTCAGAGCGGACCGGACCGAACGGGCTAGTTGGCGTGGGAACACCAACTGGTATATATCCTCCGCTCGCGCACACAATAATAATAAAAAAAAAACGTATACGCATACGTATTTACGAGACGAGGTTGTGTGTGTGCGTGCGTGAAGTTCTCGTACACACGTATTTTTTTATTATTATTATTATTATTTTTTTTTTTTTATTAGATTATTATGATCCGATTTAATAGTACTACACCAAGCTATATAATATGCATACGCGCGCGAAGTGTTTGTGTTTAATCTACGCGCGTGAAGCTGCCCTACACCCGTTCCACCCCCGTTCTCACCCATCCCTCTGCGAAGAGTCACTTTTACTTACGTTTTTTTTTTCCGGTCATCGTCGTAGGCCCGCCCGTAACGCGCGCGCGGTCCGCGAAACCGACCTTCGTCCGTCACGGGCCCGCGGTACCCGCGAACGTGTACGGTATACGTATCACGATTTTACGGGTATCGAGTTTGTTACGAAGACGAATTTTTTTTTTTTTTTCCTATAATAATACGCGCCTATCGGGGAAAACGAAATAACTGTACGTTCGCCGGTGGACGAGTGCTCGACTGCCGGGTCAACCATACTGTTTTCATATAACATTCAATGTATTTTTACGCCGAAATGCTTACTTGAATATTTTAAAGTTTCGTTGCGTTACATTTGATGCGGAATTGATGGAAAACAACTGGTGCGTATTTCGGTAAGTATGTAGCGGGGTAAAGAGGTTTCTCTAAATTTATCGAAAAGCCGTGTGAATTGTTCAGTTTTCGGCTCGTAATTCGCCATACTCAATTGTTTACACCACTGACTACATCACGCCGCTCGCCGCCACTGTGCACACGCCTATATACATACCATGGATACCTATTTAATTTGTTTTGTTAATAATGCACTTAATCAACAATAAGTAAAAAAGCTCGTCTAAAAATGACTGCGATTCCAACACTGAAATTACCAGTATCAAGTTTTCACACATCTCCAAGAAAAAAAAAAAAGAAACAATGTCAACATTATTTCTAGACAAGAAACACAAGTCGGTTTATTAGCAATACATTGGAAGTATGTAAACATTTTTCTTTGCCATTTCTTAATTAAACTGTTTTAGTATTTTTCCGCACAACACTGTTTGTTTGCGTTTTAAAACTTGCTCTCTTTCGACAACGTTTCGTGAACACATATAGCAAACGTATGTATTTCTGCAATATTGAATGACATATTGTCATTGACACGGTGACTTATTACAGAAAAACAAACAAAAAACATGAACTCAAACTCGTAATTTTACCGTGTTTACGTGCGGTATCACTGGTATCAGTAATGTTTGCCCTACTCCGGATCGGTGGGGTAATCGCCACCCATAGTTGTTACTAGCGCTCCCTTTGTTAATTTGCCAACCCAAAAGCTGTATGAATTTCGCTATTCGTTGCGCGTCGCCTGAAAAAAAAAAAAAAACTAACGGGTCAACAGTTCAACGCCGCATTACAATACAGTTCCATAGATTCTACGCGCACTGCAATATTTTACGAACAGTTTATCGACATCCTGTCGTGGCGTGTCGTGCAACTACGTTTGAAGAATGTTTTATTTGTTTAATTAATTAATTTTTTTTTTTTTATACATATATATCAACCGATAAGAACTTTTTACCACTAGTGAGGAACGAAATGGCAACGGACAAAGAAATCGACGTGTAGGATCGGGAGACGCGTATTTAGTCGTCCTTTTTCGGGGAGGGGGGGGGTGTGATGGGTCGGGGCGAATTGACGACTCGTTTCGGTTCAGATAAACGCGGTCGATGATTTCTCGGCCGGCCCGCGCTTTGTAATGGCGTGGGGAGAAGTGTTCAAACACTCGTCGCCTTTCCCCCTACCCCCGACTTTACGGCCATTGGTCTTGTCGGAACGAGAATAAGTTCACTTCGGAAGGACTGCCGGAGTATAATAGCCATCGGAAAGTATTGCAAGTATCGTGTTCTCGATCAATTTTATTCGTACAATGGTACGTTCGATAATACGTCATAGTACGGCGGAACACCGCTACTAATGGCGCTGTCATCGCGTGTATAAATTATACAAATGTGAAAGACACACTTAAATATAACACTATTTACTAATTGTCTGAGCACTCGGTCAATAAATTGTTTTTCTATTCTCCCCCTTTCACCACAACGAAGAAATCCTGCGCGCGGACCTGTTTTCCATACGACGGCTAAACAACGCCGCGGTTGATTATATCGATTTAATATTATCGTTTTTCCTGCGGTTGATTTCGTCTCGTGTTACCATTACGTTCTTGGAACAAAACTAAATATTTTCCAACCACGGATATTCCGATAACTGCCACAGTGATATATTTTTTTTATGAATCGTTAAAAGAATTGGCGTTTTTGTTTTTCCGCCATAACATACCTATACCCACGTAAAATCGATAGTCTAAAAGTACTAAACAGTTACATAAATACAGATCCGGGGGGAGGCGATCGTCAAATGCGCGGTCCTTGTATAAATTATAATATAGGGTTCGGATTAAATTGACGAAAGTTCAAACTGATAATATTATAATCAGTAGTTATATATAGTAGTTACCTAATGTTGACAATCGATAACTGTAAAGGGAAAATACTGTAAATTTACGATGAATAAACGGCTTAGCTTAGGAGGAAAATTGAAACCCATAATTTCCATGAAAATCGTAAATCGTTTTTTTTTTTTTTTTTTTTTTTTTTTTTTACAATACTCGGTTGAAAAAGTAAAAACAGCCGAAAATGCGCACGTAACGAAAAAAAAAAAAAGTCTAACCACGGCCCAACGATACCTGTTAAACTACGGAAATATGATTATTATACGATTTAAAAATGTTATTATTAAAAAAAAAAAAAAAAACACCACACACAATGTTTGAACGCGTACAACGAATCGCGTCGTCTGGAAACGAAGTGTGACAATATCGAAATACGAGCGTAATTGTTTTCACGTGAAACGAAAATAAAAATTAAAACTACGGGCGATCGTTAATGCGTACCGCACACAAATGTTCCGACGCCGGTTACGCAACGGCGTAATCGATTTGTTATTTTCGTCCGCGCGCGGCTTAGCTAGTGGCCGATATTGTTGCGTGCGTTCGGAACAATCCGTTATCACGGCGATTAATGGGAAACTGACCGCGGACTATTCCGGTGCGGTTATACAGGGCGGTACGTCCGGCATACGCGCCTAATTTTTCGTTAAATTTCGCGTGTTACCGTCGCGACGGCGACGCGGTATTCGACTCGCGACACATTGACGTTTCCGAGACGTACGGTTTTTTTACGGACGTTCGAATCCCGTACCGCGCGGCGGTGATGCCGACGTTCCGGCGTCTCAAACGGGAACCGACGTACGGCGTACGCGTTACGAATAAATCGCCGAAAACGTCGACGCGCTGTAATCGAAAGCCGAACGATAAGTTCCCGAGCAATTGCCGCGTTAAAACGCTAAGAAATCTTCTTCGTTTTCTTCGTCGGCTCACGACCCGTTAACGGCTAACGCTGCCCGCCACACACCACCCCATCGTTCCCAGTCACTCGCGTCTTGCGCTCATATCGCGGCGTCTCATACGCGGTTCGTAGACGCGTATTCAATACCGCATTCTGCCGTCTCTGCGTTGGCCTTCCCCGCGGTCTTTTCCTATTTAATTTCTCGCGTATTACTTCGTTCATTTCACCTCCTTCCGCTCTCCAGACATGCCCGAACCCCTGTAACCGTTCGCTTTTTACAGAGGCGACAACATTACGGTGTTTGAACGGGTTCCTTAGATAAAATACTAAGGATAATGTCCAAAAGGCGCCGTTTGAGCGGCGCAACGGCGAGCAGCGTTTTCATAGTGATCCCTTGTACTTTCCCCGTATCAAAATTGAAAAAAAAAAAAACATAATTTATTTAAACTAATACGCCGTCATCTGTTCATGGGATTTTTAATATACGTTCCCGTTTGTCAAACCAAAGTGCCGGCACGGGCCACTTCTTGAATGCTGTGAAAGATCTATAAGTATTCGAAAAATATCAGCTTTGAAATATATGCTTAGTAATTCCGAAAATCAAAATATTTGAATACACGCAAAATTTACCCACAGAAATCGGACGAGCGCGTGCTTATTGAATCACTCTGTATTTATATTGTATGTTTACACATATTTTTGTATTTCAGACAAAAAAAAAAGAAGAAAAAAAAGCGATATACGAAACGATTATAATGTCGTTATTGTAAACCGAGAATTGACTGCGAGCACCGAGCAGTGTTTCCTAACTTTCTGTTACAACAGTATATTATACGGGCCGCTCGCGTAGAACTTTCGACCGGATTTTCGATCGAAAGGGTCCAAGGGCTTAACTAACCCCTATATAGACCGGCAGTATCCTGTTTTTTTTTGTTTCGCGATGACCCGACGTCCGCCAACAATAATAAATTGTGATCGATCGATTTCTCCGTTTGTTTTTGCGGATCCCGCGAGCAGACTCGGGAATCCCGGCCCGCGGCAAACATTTAACGGGAAACACGCGAACCGACGAATGCCGAACGCGTGTTTTTTTCCGAGTAAAAAAAAAAAAAACCAAAAAACAATCGTATTTTCGCCGGCTGGGAACCACTGAATCGCATATGAGACCGTTGCGATATTCCCGCGTTACGCCGGGCGCTCGACAACAATAATAACCGCGCGTCGTATTTTATTGTTGCGACGACAAATAACAAATTATACGTACCCGCGAATTAACATTTTTATGACGTTTCGCGTCGACTTCTTCGCGACGACACTCGCCGCGGTTTCATCGCTGCAGTGCAATACATTCCGCGTGTGCCGCAGAATGTTTAGCCGTTTTCGAATCGTTCAGCGTCGTATACGAAACAGCGAGTACGAAAAAAAAAAAAACAAAAAAAAAGGCCCGTCAAAAGCGCGACGACGGAACGCGCGCGATATTTTACATCGCAACATAGCTACGATTTTTTTTTTTTTTTTTTTTTGAAAACGAAACCGTCAACGACGCGGTCGGAATATATTATTGCGATGTGTTAACGAAAACAATGGTAATTACGCTTTTCTCGGATAATATTGCGGCAAACAACGTGGTAATTTATATATTGTTTTTTTTTTCTTTTTTTCGCACACACTACACGGTTGTGTGAGGTCACGTCGTCCGCAACGCGTTCCTGTACACGAGTATGTTATATTTTTTAGATTATGATGGGCAAGTTACCTGTACACTCACAGTCTATCGAACACGTGCGTCTTCCTCGGGGGATGTTTTTTTACACCACACAGATAGGTACGTAACGTTTATCAATTATAGTTGTGATTCGCGTGCGACATAATTACTCGGGATAATGATTGAGAGTTATAATTACCTCGCGGTACCTATAACGAGGTAAACACGAACCGCTTGCACTGCGGAGTTCACACACAAAAAAAAAAAAACCTTTCCAACAGTTTTTCGTACAGTTGTGGGAATTTGTTGACGGATTTAAACCAAGTAATTGGACTCTCAAATTTTCGGTTCCTAAAATATGTATGCACGTGATCGGAACATCGCGCGGCTGCAAAGTCTAAAAAACCTTACCAAAAACATCACTCTTGCAGATTTGTTGGACATTGTACCTAGACAAAAGAAAATACGGTGCTGGGCAGTCACAAATAAAATGCAGGCGTTTTTAAACAGGAAACTTAAAAAGAACCTATTGCCACTGATATTGTCAATAATTTTTAATTTTTACAACAATGATGTAATATTTGTTTTGCTAGACACTGTTATCCGGTATCACTGGCGACTGTTATCAATTCACTGCGGACGTGTTTGAAACTTCACTCCGTAGTCCACCTGTTTCTTTAGTCCGCCTCCATTTTGAGTAAATACCTATAGCAAATAAACGAATCAGATTGACTTTGATCCTTCGTGATCAGTTGTTTTGTGTATTCAAACCTATCAGTGACCTAACGTTCGTTTTTTTCTTCAACGTTTTTCTCGATAAAATCAATTTCGATATTTACTCATTTCGTTTTCTAATATCGAATTATATTATAATATTATTCTTTTCGAATACACTGTATAACACGTGTTCGTTTGTTATTCTCACGTACTCTCGACTCAGTTTTCATATACTATAAATTACTATGGTAATTACCATCACGAAATACACCTATTCAACGTTTCGGTTGGTTTGAGATTTCCGAAAAATCCATGTATAGGTACCGTGATGATGGGCATCTCCATTGTGGAGGAGGGAATAAATGTCCCCCCGGCTTCGTCCGCATGATACGTGAACAGTTAAACAAGAAGATCGGTATCATTAAAATAAAAAAAAACAAAAAAATACAATAGATAAAGGGTAAGCGAGAATAACGCGCTATGTAGCAATTCGTAAATTTTACAGGAAAGACTAAAACGAAAAATATATCGTACGTTTTTTTTTAAAAAATGTTATTTGGAACGAATGCATTATTTTTGACCGTTAATAATAATACATAATATTGTCCCCTAGTGGATTTTCGAAGACGGGCGCTCTTGGTAGGTATACGTTATTTAATAGCCACACCTCGTATTTGTTTCCATACTCGTGGATGATAATCGAATGGTATACGACAGACAGTATAGGAGTATTTGGTTTCGCATTACGCCGAGTGCAGTCCATTGCATCACAATAAATGCGTATGCATAAAACGCGGGTATATAAAGTATGAACGTGTACATTTAAGTCGTTTTCGCCGATAATCTATAATATAATCTGTATACGTTGTGCCAGTGAAAGAAAACACGTTCGTAAAACTCTTTGTTATAACGTACGCTGCGCGCTTTTTATACCGCTGCGATATAATATTGTAATAGCGGAATAACAATAACAATAATTACATTATGCGGTTTGTTGAACTTGCGGAGTAAACGCACTTGATGTTATCTCGACCGCTAATCAGACTACATCGGAGAGTTCGTAATAATACATATTATCGTGTGTTATCGCGAAAGTGGAGTTTGCTTATGTACGCGTACCTATATGGAGAGTCATTTAACAATCGTTGGTTCGTTTATAAAGAACTGTACATGGAATAACTGAAAACAAAAAAAAAAATCGCCCATTACGACCAGAGCTCCGTCACTGGGTAGGGTCGAACCGCACTTATTTCAGTCGAACTGCACTCGGGTTATAATAGTTGGCGGTCTCGAACATTTTTCGACCTATAAATGCAATTCGACCGTTACCTGTTTTCGACTCGAGCGCAGTTCGACCATTAAATTTAGATAAAAAGTGCGATTCGACCGACCCGTCATCGCTAGAATATAGTGTCGAATTTCCCCCAGCCAATAGACGGTAAAAAATATTCTATTAGAGAAATATTTTTTGCCGATCGTTAAACATAATAAATGTCTGTAACATAGTATACAGGGATGGCGAACCTATGTCACACGCGTCGCAGAGCGCACGTGCACGTACA